AGTCTCACTAAGCTGCCCAGGCTAACCTAAAACTTGCCATCCTCCTGCCTCAGCCTCCCAAGTCACTGAGATTACAGGCATATGCTGCTATGCCTGGCTAGGACATCTTTTTGAAAACTACTGCTACTTGGGACCCACTACAGACCTATTAAATCAGAATATTTGTTGGTGGACTTCCCAGTTAGTTCTAATATGCAAGCATAGTTAAGATCCATACGTTTAAAAGTGGGGGAAGGAAATATCCCTCCTGTGTTATCAGTTTCTCATAGCTGTGACCAATACCTGACAATAAAGATTTAGAGGAGGAAAACTTTACTTTGGTTTGCAGTTTCAGAGGTTCAGTCCATGAATGGCCCACTCCATAGCTCTGGGACTGAGGTGATGGTGGAAAGACAGAGGAAACCTGCCTTTCCCATGGGGGCCAGGAAGCCGAAAGAGGGGTGGAGGGAGTCAGAATAGATAAAGTCACCAAGACCAAGCCTCCAGTGACTTCCTTCCTCCAATCAAGCCTAGCTGCTTACAATTACCACTCAGAAGTCCATTCAAATTATTAACCCATCAAATAAATTAATTTGCTGACAAGAGCTCTCATAATACACTCACTGTCCAAAAGCCTCACCTCTGAACCTTGCTTCCTTGGGAATCATGCTTTTAACACATGGGAAGACATTCTACTTTATTTATTTATTTATGTGGTGCTGGGAATTGAACACAGGGTCTTGTGCATGCTAGGCAAGCACTCTACCAACTAGCTATATCCCTAGCCCTGGGAAGACGTTCCAGAATCAAACCACAGCACCTCCCTTCAAATAAGCAGGAGCTTTCAGGGGATTTATCTGCCAATGATTTCCTGAAAGGTCCATGAATTCCATGAAATAACATACAGAAAAGTTGTGTGTAATTGGTGGAAACCCATAGCTATTAACATACTCTCCAGAGAATCCATGACTACTCCGGAATTAAAAATCATTAACACTGCTGATTCTTAGGCAGACCTGGCCCGTTCACACAATTTCTTACCTCTCACACATATCACCATTCTCTGTGTTTCAAAATTCCCTCTGTTCACACATTGAGGCATCTGTGGAAATATTTGTTTTACCTTACATAGCTTCAAGCCCTGACATTTTTATCCTTGAAGATTCACTCAGCATTTTTTTTTCAAAATGTAAATGCAAAAAGGAGAATCAAGACTTGTTAGCAAGAATTACTTCAACTAAGTTAGCTTTATACTCCTATGTATCCTAAAGTAATGGCTATGTTGAATGGGCAGGGAGATGAGTACAAAGAACTTTGGTCTAGATAGAGGACCACATAGAAATTTTTTAAAATTGTTCACTGGGAACCTGAAAGATAAAGGAAGTCATCTTAGTCAGCAGGATATGTGTGAAGAAAGAGAAATCAGAACATTCAAAATAATTTTAAGTCTAGTACAGTAATGAAGTATGGTCTGCAATATAATAAAGAAAGAGAAAGCTCTCTTCCCACTTTCCCTCCTCAACATTTATCATATACAAACTCCCCAAAATCATCAATTGAGAACTAATATGATCTCTACCTGTGAGATCACACACACACACACACACACACACACACACACACACACACATATATATATATATATATATATATATATATATATATATATATATATATATATATATAAAAGCATAGGAGTCTTAGAGTCAGACATAAGTGGGTTCCAAAATAGCTTTGCCATTTGCTGACCAGGTGACCTTGAACAACTCAGTTAATCTCTGAAAGTCCAAGTTTCCTATATCTAAAATGGCAATAATATCTACCTCATAAGGTTACCTTGAGAACTAAATGAAATAATTTATGTAAAGTAATTATTACAATGCTTCAAACTTTCCCAAGATTCAATAAACAGCTATGTTACCCACAGCTTGACTCTTACAAATCAAACAAGCATTTTTTTTTTAACTAGCCTAAAGATGCAGCTATGTTTGTTTCCAGGAGAAATTTCCATGTTCCAAAGTGATTGGCTTTGAGATAGTCTTCATTATGCAAACATTTAAATACTTTCTTTAAAAATCCAACTTACTTTTTAAAGGAAGTGCTGATCTTTCCATCTGCCAACTTTTTTATTTAGCTCTTCAGCTGCCACCTTAATCACTCAACTAATATAAACTCCTCCCAGAAATGAGAACTCCTTAGGACTAAGTGAGAATTCCTTTCCATAAACAATATGTGTAATATAGTTCCTCTCCTCATGAGGCTTAACTTCTGTCTGGAGAAAATGATATGCAAATTCAATCCAAAATAATGTCTATGATAATAAATATGTGCCAGGAATTATGGAGTGTAGTGGGAGATTCATTTTATCCTAGATGATAAGAAAATCTTGGTAAAGGGGGTGACATTTTAACTGAACCAAATGTGCATCAAAGTCAATAGAAATGAGAACAATGTCAATCAGGATATCTACATGAACTGCAAGGAAATACTCAAAAGTAGACTATAGTTTATATGGACCTTGAATGCAAATGTTGAGGATAAAAGGTGAAATGCCATGGTATTCACCTAGGCATGGATAATGTATATAATAGTAAGAAATAGTAAGCTTACAGGAAAATATGGTAATTAAAGTTGGATAGGTGCTACTGTGGAATTATACTTTGAAGAATCCTGGGAACTAAATTGGAAGTCTAGACTCATGCAATAACAACAAAAAGGGGTGGGCAAGGGGCAGGGTGTGCATTATAGGTTCTAGAACCGAGGTCTATGTAAGCCTATGAAAGCAAAGTGCAGGAAATACTCCAGTAGGGATGCCCTGGGTAAAGGTGGCAGACAGGTGTGACTAGAATATCTTTAGAGGACAACTCTAAAGATACAAATATGACATTTTATGAATGTCATCTGGAATATTTTAAATTATACATATCTGAATATATTCCACAGTGCCAAGTTATTCTAAACAATAAAACTGTAAGGTTTAGCTTATCTTTTGATATGCAGTAGAACAAATTTTATGGACCCAAAACATCAAAGGATACAGTAAGAAATATTTCCTGTCTACTTAGGTGTGTGTGGGGGGGGGATGGTTTTAATTTTTTTTTTTTTTGTCTTTTTACTTTAAAAGTGTGATCTTAAAGTAGGGATTGGGAAGATAAGTATATAAATCCGTCCAATATTTTATCTCAGCATATTTACTTCACCAGGAAAAAAAATGACTTTTTAATTGCACAAGGATTAAAAAAAAAATGTTTGAATACCCTTCCTTGACAAGATCTAGGGCTTTCGTGTGAGAACAAAATACACATTTACAGTAAGTTTAGATTTGTGGGTAGAATTTAAAGCTCTGGTCCATCAACATATAATGGATGAATGTGACACTTACATAATAGCATTTGTTTGAGCACATTTAGAAAGAGCAGGGGAGTCTTTGCAGTGCTAAAAGAAGTTTAAAATTTTAAGGTTGTTTTCTTTTCAGTGAGAAACAACACCTACTCAAAATAAGTTAGAAACTCCACATTCAGAATCTATATTGCTCCTCTAAGATTCAGGAATGGTTAAGGAAGGAAAGAGGATCCCAAGGTCATGGGGAATAGTCTTTAGAGTATTCTTGCAGGGCTTATCTGTGCTCACATGCCTAATTTTTTTTTTCCAAGTGCAAAGAATGGCCACTTGCTTGAGACAGGCCCAGTGCCATCCTTTATTCAAGTTCCTTTATACTCCTTTTTTTAAAGAAGCTGTCAAGTTCTTTTTTCGCAGCTGACAGGAAAGGCCAAATCTGTGGTACAGGAAAGGAGGCGCAAAAAGAAACTTTTTTGTGTTGATGTTTTACTAAGTGAGCTAAGGAGAATTTTAGAATCATGTAATTTACTCTGGAGGCATTTACTGTACATAGCTATAGTGATGGTAATTTCTTTCATTGTTGAAGTGAAAAGATAACCATCAATCAGTTGTCAATTGGTCAATTGCAGAAGTGATGAAAAGAAACTGGTAGGAACAATCACTTCTGTGGCTACCTAGACCATTTGAAGGCTTAGAAAAAGTATGGGAACTGGATTACATTTTAAAAGGGGATTGGACCAGATTGCCAAAAAGGTTAACAACCATAACTTTCTTGAAAAGAATGGTTTTGCAATTATGCATAATCAGGAATGAATTTTACAAATGAAAAAAATTTAAAGACATGGGCTTAAAAAGTGAAAAATATTAATTAAGCTAGATACCAGGTATATAAGCCCCCCACCAACCCTGAATTTCAATGTGATCTTAATGGAGGAATAAATATAGCTTACTAATAACCTAACATGTGTCTCTTAGAACAAATTAATGATAATTACTTGTACTCAAGCCTTAGTTCCAATCTTGGGCACTTTGAAATAATAAAAAAAAAACTTTCTAAGTATTCATCACAAAGAATAGAAAGTCTAATTTTGAACATTATTTTAAACAAACATCTACAAATGATTTAATTTTTAAAAGCCTATGAAAGCTCACATAAAAGTTCAGATAAGAATAAGTTTAAAAATCATTAACTTGCATAAAAGGCAAATGGCACTTTGGGACTTAGTGCTGTAAGCAAGATTTCATTTTAATTTATCCTTTTCCTAAGAATGGCAATATTATGGATTTATTCCGAGAGAGAGAGTTCCCCCCACACACAGTGATTTTTTTTTTACTGTGGTAGGTAATAAAAAGGATTACAGGCCCCCAGAAGGATGAGATATCATCAGTTTGTAATCCAGCCCATGGTTTCCTAGATACCGTATTGTCTATTCTGTTCCGCTATGTGAAAAATGTTGAATATCAACAATGGGTTTCAGTGCTGTATTGTTGAGTTTTGTATGAACTAATCTAGCTTCACTTAAAAAAAAAAAGAAAGAAAGAAGAAAAAAAGAAAGAGAGAGAGAAAAAGAAAAGAAAAGAAAGAAAGAAGAAAAAAAGGAGAAAAAAAAAAGAACCCCAGCTTTGGACAAAAGTCTGTAGCCAGTACATTTGAAACTCCCCTTGCACAAGGGCTCACTGTAGCTGGGAGAAGGCATTTTACTCATTTGCTCTCTCCCTTCCTACCGTCAGCTGGTCCCTCTTCTCAGGTGTAGATCACCTATTATCATTTCACCTATTTTGATACTCTACTGAGGAGAGTCCCAGGATGCAGCTGGGACAGGCCCACTTACAAGACAGCCCAGTTCAGTATTTGGAAGGTAAGCTCTCTGCACAAAACTTCTCTGCTTTAGTATGCTGGCCTAGCTCTAAAACTTTGCAGCATATCACTTATTTTTAACTTTCACTTTTTTTTCTTCTCTCTCTCTCTCTCTCTCTCTCTTTTCTTCTTTTGGAGAAAGAAAGCCTGACAGGTTTCTCCGGAAAAGTGACCATCCATGGAATGAATGAAATGTTCTCTTTCTATTCCAGTAAGTAATTGACTTGTAACTAAAAATTGAACTGGCTGCTGTGTCAACTGCAATGTGAGATGCTGCTTGCACAGGTGTTGCTTACTCTTTAGCCTGGAAAGAAAAAGGGGCTTAACCTGTGATTAAATTTCAAGTCAATTGACCTCAACATGATAGTACATAATTCTCACTTGCCTACCGAATGGCCCGAGTTCTCATTTGACCCTGATTCTGGCACCTGTGTTTTTTAATGTTTGGCGTCGCTAAAGCCAGCATTGCTCTTTTGGTTTAGAAATAAAGTGGGTGGAGAACAGTTCAAAGTAAATAACAAACGGTGGTCAGCCGACTGAGTCTTTGATACGGTCTCAGTGGGTTCTTTTTTTAATGCGTTAGCTGGACTGTCATGTACATTATTATTCGTGTACAGTTTTTAAAGTATGGATTTATGGACAATTTTATTAAGTGCTGGGGATACAAAGTAAGTCCAAACCAGTGAGTTACAAACAAGTAAAGGATGTGAGAATTTGGCTGTCAAGTGCTTTCAAATGCTTAACTTTGATTAGGCAACATCTCCTAGATTAAGTACGCCTTGCCCTTTAATGATTTTGAGCTCTGGAATGAAATGGCAGCATTGTTGTTTTTTTTTCTAATTTCTTTCTGCAAACAGAACAAAGGTCTATTTACCTTTAATAAGATGCCCCTTTTGAGTTTGGAGACAAATCTGTGTTTACTTTCCAAAAGCAAACTAAAAATGAATAACATTCAGAGTCATCATTTATACTTGAAGCTATTTTTCCGTTCATTTCATGTAAAGCGATTGCCTACTATGAATTGGTCTATAAGATGAGAGCAGCTAAGGATTGTTGTTTTTCTCTTCCTAACTTTTTTTTTTTTAAACCTGGGAATTAGAAGAACATGCTGATGAGGCTTGCTTAACCCTGCTTTGAGTGCCAGGCAGTGACTAGCTCTCTGTGAAACCATTTCTGACCCTCTGCTTGCAGTGGTGAGCTTGAATTTTTCCCCTTCCTTGCCCATCACTGTCAGTCAATTATAGGATTGAACTGAACCAGAAAATCTGGTACAGTCTGGTAATTAGTACAAAGGGTTTCCAGTCTAGTGTAAAGACAGAGATGCAAGAGCCCCAGCAGTCACAGAAATCGTTTTGATTGGCCATGGACATTGCCTTTTAGTGCTGCTTGGTGACTTCCTAAAGATATTGCCTCCTACCCTACAGGTCTTCTCCTTCAAGTACATTATGGGCCTTTTTTTAAAGTGGCGCGTGTGTGTGCATGTATGAGTGTGTGTGTGTGTGTGTGTGTTTCTTTTTTTAGATCCAACTTCTCCCATTTTTAGTCTGTCATTTTTGCCTATCAAACAGACACATTTTGACTTGCCCAACAAAGAACCAAGTTATCAACACTCACAGAAACTGACATTTTTAATTCAGGCTTCATTATGTCTTTGAGTTATGACAGTGAAGTACAAAGACATTTTAAGGGTTTTTTTATTATTTTTTTTAAATCCAGCATTCGGATGTTTATTTTTCTTTAGTATTCATATTTCCCTTTCTACTTTTATTCTCGGTAATATATAATTAGCATTATCACAACCATCAGCTATTATCCTTTCTGACTTTTGACCTTTATTTTTTTAGTATCTCTCAAGCTGGCAGTCTCTAAACTAAGAAAAAAAAATCCCCATAAGAGATTTTAATGAAATATCTTAGGGTTGTGAAAACAATAAAATATTTTCAAATGTGAATCCCCTTTAAGCATTCATAGGTAAGCATGAATAGGTAAACAATAGGTCCTATAATAAAAAAAAGCAACAAAATTAATTTCATAAAAATTATTTTATAAATCAAACTTACATTTGCTGCTAAATTCATTTTTAAAGTGTACATTTCATCATACATTTTTAACCACTCCCTTGGAGTTTATTATCCATGCTATTTTTTTGGATAAATTATTATTTTTTGGTTTTTTGCATGAGTAAACATCCCCTTTGATTATAGATTACAATGGCCCGGTCACATACCAGATACGGTGAAAGGGTTTGGCAACTTATCAGTGTAACAAATGCTTACCCCCCGCAAAAGCTAGATATAGGTGTCTGAGGACAAATTTAATGTCTAATACTGTACAGAATTACAAAAGGAACAATGTTCAAATCAAGAGAAGCAATAGAAAGCACAAGATTTTTAATTTCCAAGAGTGAATTCTGTCTTTAGGACAATCTCCATCATGATCTATTTGGGAGGCATGTGTGTTGTGAGTCTTGTAAAGGCCTCTTTATTTGCCCATTTCTTAAGGTAGCTTTAAATATCTGCTTTATCTTATGTACAATATTAGCAAAACTATTTATGTTGCCATGTCTGGCAACATACTGATTTTCATACATCTGAGTTTACTATTAAGTTTCAAGAAGGTTTGATATTCCTTTTATAACCCTGTCGTGAGTCATGCATCTTCCCAGTAAGCATGTCATAATTTTAAAGGCTGTTCAAGAAGCAGGATTTCTGTTGAAATAGTTCTGTATTCATTTCTCTATTGTTTATTAACCATAATATAATATGATGCTTTGAAAAGAGTACGCATATTTATGTAATTAACGCTTTTTGTTTTTAGCAAAACCTGGCCCATCAAAAACTAAGAGGGTCTTAGAAAACTATATAAATAGGCAACTTTTCAGGGATAATATTTGCGTTCAATTTAAACTTGCCATCAGATTTACATGTTGAAATGTATCCATAAAGTGACAGAGGGAAGAGCACATTCTGGTAATATTTTCCTCATTTTATTTTTTAACCTAAAATATATGTTGAAATTCAAAAGGTCGCCACATGTAGAATGGTAGTGTTTTATATTCTTTAATGCCTTTGTGGGTCTGTATAAAATTACAGGGGTTCACAGGCTTTAATATGAACTCAAACACTCTTTTCTATTTCAGTCTTATTCCTAGAAGCAGGAGCAAAACTTGGGAAGGACCTTAAAGATTGTCAAGCCTCGTGGTTTTCAAACTAAAATTTCAAACTAAGCCTCATGGTTTTCAAACTAAGATTGGAGACACCCAGGGGTGAGGGGAAAGGGAGGTCATTGGCTTTCTACCTGTCTCGAGACCACAGGATCTCTGCTGTACTCTGCTATTTTATTAGGGTTCTATGTAAGATTTACTTATGAGAATCCCATGCTGGAGGGGGAGAGATGAAGAATCACTGAGGCTATCTTACAGATAAGGAAGGCACAACTTACCTAACATAGCACTCTGAACCAGTGGCAATATTAATTCTGTTTCTTAGTCCCAGGCTTAATCTGCTAAGCAATAGATTTGCCCTACACAGCCATGTGTCATCACATGCAGGCCTCCTGAACCCTATCACTACAAGTATACACTAGGAGATCCATAGTCTTGTGTTCAAAATTAGGACATTCACTGAGGATCTAGTATCTAGGTGGATCTAGTATCTAGTGTTGCAGTTGAACAACACTGAATACCAAAATCAAGCCACTTATTTTGGCAGTGCCATTAATTCTGGGTGTGTTATTGCGGGTCATTAAAGTATAATGTTGATTCATCTTATTTCTTAGTCGAGAAAGAGGTATTTTTAAATTTTCAATTGTGGTTTCTAAGAAATCCACATAACGTTAAACTTACCAGCTTACCTACTTTTAAGCATACAGCTAGTAGAGTTAACTTGTTTTTTTTTTTTCCACAATGGAAAATTTTAATTAGGACTTAAATCCCAAAATAAGAAATAAAGCTGAATTAAGGGGCTAATTTTCCCAACACACATTTTATGGAATAGTATTCCCATAAGTTGTGCCAGATAAAACAGTAACATGGTCAAATACTTTTGAAAAATGAGACTACTGTGTCCTTCCCAAGGAAGTTCAAAATGAGAATATGTACTTTAAAAACACTAGGAAACTGTAGAGATCTCTTTGAATAATACAGAGTACCCCAAACTATTTTTCTATAGATTCTCTCCACCTTTTTAGCCAAAAACAAACAAACAAACAACAACAACAAAAAAAACCCTTTTTGTTATTTATGTCAGCTGTATGGCTCTGTGTTTACCCTCCCTTATCTTCATCTTGTGGGTAGAAAATCCCATTAATTCAATCAATTAACAAATATTTGGGCCCAGTGCTGGAAGTGTAGTACTGAATAAATCAATCAGAACCCTTGATGTTGCAGAACTTACAGCCCAGGAAGATGTCACTGAATATGTTTTAGGAGAGAAAGAGAGGAGGAAGAAGAGAAGACAGAAGAGGAGAAGGAGACAAGAGAAGGAAGGAGGAAATGAGAGAGAGAAGGAAGGAAGGAAGGGAGGGAGGGAGGAAGGAAGGAAGGGAGGGAGGGAGGGAGGGAGGGCGGACATGAACACAATGTTTGTTTAATTTGATTGTTTGTTTGTATTGTTCCTATTTCTAAAATGAGAGGAGATGGAAAGGGAAAAAAGAAAACCAGGTGACCACTAGTCCATAAGTTTACAATCTGGTCTTTGAATAAGAGGTACTCTGTCATTTTTTCCTGAGATCTTTTTATGCACCAGTAATTAGGTCTGTAATAGTTCTCTAGCAATCCAAAGATGGACTTGTATTGTTTGGGAGGAAAAGGGGAAGGAAAAGAGAAAATAAAACACATGACTTGGTCTCTTTTTCTATTGTGACTCCTTTCTTAACTGTTGGTATTATCTTTTGGATAAGAAAATTCCTTTCCGGTGTTGGTGGAAGACCTCATTTGGTGAAGAGTCTACACGTGGTCCCCTGTCTTTCTCCCAACTCAAAGACATCACCCAGTCAGATCTGACTGCTGGTGGTAACCATGGGTCCTAGCTTTGTGATGTTTTCTCTCACTAGCTGTCCACCTTCTCTCTCGGGCTCTGGCCTTCATGTTGGGGAAATCTGTGGCTTCATAGGAGTGCCATATGCCTCCCAAGCAAAGGGAAATCAGGCCCATGGGCAAAGTTAGTACCAGGTTCTTGAACAATCTGCTCATCCCTAGATCACCTGCATGAA